TAAAGCAACGTAGTTTTTTCTATTTTTTATTTTTATTTCTTTTCTCCCTTGCATGCAATTACCAAGACGCAATTAAGGCGCAATACAATCGCGTAATAATTAAGGCAGGTAGCAGGCCAGCAATTAGGACACATTTAAATTTCGCGCCATGTAGGGCAAATGCGCGATGTCGTAGCTCTTCCGGGTTGATATCATAAGTATTTTGTTTTGCTCTTAGTAGTCTCTTCCTCACGTAGATATCGACGGTGGCAACGCGACGCCGACTACTGGATGCATGGGCTTCTATGAAAGTTACGCAACCAGTTTTTATATACCTTGTTGTTGCCTTGCTGCAGTGCTGGCTGCAGCAGTTTTACTGGGTACGCCGGTGCTATCACACTCACAGTAGTCGGCGGTGAAATACCGTCGGTGTATGTGCAAGATGCACGACTTCACGAACGAGTTGTAAACGCGCTAACAGTGAAGGGCAAAGAACATAACTGGGTTGGCGGCTCTCCAACGCTTGCTCGGTCGGAGCTTTTCGCTGCTATCGAGAAGCTTTAACTATAGCCTCCAAGCATGGAGGAAGAAAAACTGAGGAGAGGCCCTCGCTACAAGCGGCAGAAAAAAAGTGTTGCGGATGTCACGTGCTTTTTCGCAATGGTTGCAATGGCAATGTGGGCACGCCGCCGATTCCTTGTCATGGCCCCGTCGTCGACAAATTACACCTTTGATATCGGATTGTTGTCTGTGAATCTGCAATGTTAGGAGATCGCTGTGTTTACGGATGACGCAAGGTTTGAGAAGTTCATCCTAGAGTGAGTTTATGTCGTCATGGTTGCGTGCGCAGCATTCAGATTGCCATGGCGAGGGGTTTTCGAAGCCCGCGACAGCTTCTCCGAGAAGGCTTCTCGCCGCAACTTCGCTGTTTGCCTTTGACACCGTGTTGCTGCACTTCTCCGTGATGAAAGGATCCATTTCCTTGAACAGAACGACACCTTCAGTGGCTCTTAATGTTGGAGACAGTGGTGACCCATTTTCGTGCGCGACGGTGACGATTGGAATGCATTGTCCCGGTGCTCTCACTGAAGGCTGCATCGTCAAGAGTAGAAACGACGTGCCTAACCCATTCGTGTTTAACGCAAAAAGGCGATTTGCGAAGCTGCTTGACGTGTTCAGATTCCATTGCGTTTTTTTGCGATGTAGTACTTTAAGGGCCGAAGTTCCATTCAAAGCGGTCGTACCCGAACGACGGCCCCTCCCCACTGTAACTGTAACTTCACTGAAGTGCCACCACGTTGGTGCGATTGTATTAAACTATATGGTGCGATTGTTATGACGCACAGATGCAAGAGATAATCTGAAGGTGCAACATGCTTCTATGAAAGAAGGTCAAGGCAGATGGTATTCTTAAATTATTTCGCGTGACCTTATCTTACTAATTAACCCGAAAAAAAGCCCACGGTGATTACTTTGCCGTGTTGCACAGTTTGTCACGTTCAGCTCAATAGGCTTGGAGCACGTAACTGGAAGTTTATTTGAAATGCTCAAAAGCAAAGCTTGCACTCAAGAAAACTTAGTTCCACTTCCTGTACACTCACCTGGGCAATATTTCTATGTATATAACCATGTAGTCAATTTACCTGTCTGTCAAATGAACGTTGGCATTTAAATCTGCAGAGCACGCGTCGTTGCGGTCTATCACGGCAGTAGGAACGGTTCCTCGTGAAGTCGATTTGCCACTGGCACCGCCCGGTTGAAGTGGTCAGGTGGGAAGTGTTTTGAGAACACAAAAGATCATTCCGTCAGTTCCCAGTCGCGTTGGCTGTGTGTAATTGCCTCAATTCATAGCCTCCTTCGACGGGGATATTTGGGAAACCTCCACGAAAACAAATATAAATGTACGCGAATTTGCTGACAATATTGATACATGGACAAATAGTCGTGAATAAATTGAACCACAGTCATATCATGACGCCTACAAAGCGAACGAAAGAAGGAACTCCGGCGCAAGCTGCGCCTGTCATCAGCGTCGTGGTTAATTGCGCTGCGTTTTATTGCGTTCAAGAACTGCCACCAAGAGCCGTAAATAAATCTCAGGAACACTACGCTGACGCATGTAGTATCGTGCATTATGTTCTGTGAGGATACTCTTCATCACACCGTACGTAGAACATAAAAAATATTCAATACACTCACCTGTGGAAGCTGACGCCTTGTTCCCGTATTATCGAGGGCATCGCAGCTTCTTATCCCATGCAATCAGATGTATCGCTTTCCGGCTCGGTCAGCTGGGAATGTCCCTGTGCTCTGGCCAGCGTGACGCTATATCGTCTTCTAGCAACCAGATGAACGTGCCCACAAGTGCGAGAGGGAGCTTCCTACTCTTCCCTACTTCCGGCTCCACAAAACGTGGCGTCACAGCCTCTCCTCAGTTTTTTCCTTTCTCCATGGCTCCAAGACTGCGCGCAATCTCGGACGTCATGCTTTAACTGCATCACGACGCATTACTTCTCTTGAAAACTCACAGACAGTGAAATTGTACCGCTTTGCCAGCAGAGCACACGGAGTGAGAGTGCATGCGGGAAAGATACGCTCCAGCAACTGAATCGGTAGGATACCGTGTGCTTTTCGTCGTTTCCCCACAGGTCGTAGGTTCGACGCCCGGCTGGAGAACTCTTTCATCAATGCTTCTAGGGGCGAAGCTCCTTAAGGCGTGGGTCGTGCGTCTCCTAAATGTAGCAGCCACATCTCGTTTTAGTCCTTGGTATTTCCGCTGGATGGCGGTACTTCTCTGCTGGATGGCGGTAATATATGATGAAAATATTGGAGATTGTGGTGCTTGGAGTGTTCACTAGGTGGATGAACGGACTGACAGACATACTGACAAACGGACATGTGGACAGGCAGACAGGCGGTCCGACGGACAGGCGGACGCGCGGACAAAAGGACGGGCGAACATACATACAGACAGACAGACAGACTGACGTACGGACCAGTGGACGGATGGATGGATGCGGCCAGCGAATGATTCAAGGTTTGCCATTAAACCCTTCAAAGCTTTGCGCCAGTCATCATCATTCTCTTTGTGGATATGGCGTGTTTTTTTTTTCTTTTTCGTTTGGTAGTGTCAGCTTTGGAACGGCATATTCGCGACAGAAATAGGTCACTGAAGCTTTGGTGAACCGCGGCATAAAACAATTCCTTGTTAAAACAATGGCATGTACCCGATTAAAACAATGGCATAGTTTTAGCACTTGAGCGTTTAAAAAAGAAGCTCACATAGGCAGCGTTTACCAAACAAATGCAAATAACGAATGCCAATGTCCCAGCAGTAATGGCACCCTAGTATTATGCGTGGCACTCAAGTATTATACCACAGAGTCACAACAGGCTTCGTAAAAACTTTGCAAATAGACCCTCAAGTTCGTAAAACGCCATCTCTGGTTGCAGTGCTTGCTATCAAATTTATTAAACATTAGATATTTACTCGCGAAATACAGCCGTCATGTCGGGTTAACGTCACTTGTCGTTAGGCGCCATCCACTTAGGACGATTTGCGTTGCCAAGTTTAGGGCTACCGTTCTCGTGAGTCTCAGTGCAAACAACAACGCCGCATATCAGCTTACCGCTTCTGGCGTTGCTAATAAATATCTATGTTGCTGTTGGCGTGTATATAAGCAACACCAAGAGCGCACAAAAATGCTAGCGTAAAAGATGGAGGCGAAAATGTTGTAGGCCCGTGTGCTCAGATTTGGGTGCATATTAAAGACCCCCAGGTGGTCGATATTTCCGGAGCCCTCCACTACGGCGTCTCTCATAATCATGTGGTGGTTTGGAGACGTTAGACTCCTCAAATCAATCATCAATGTTTAACGTGTATGTGTGCGCAGATACGTACATGTATTGCGCGCCACTTGATAACGTCTGGCTGATAAAAAACAATAAAACATTCACCTTGCATCTGCATGCTTCGAATAGGAAGGATGCGCAAGATAAATGAGATCTGCCGAATTTTTCAAAGAATTCCCTCATCACGTGTTGTCAGTAAGTACACGATAGAGAATTTCCGGCACCGTCATTGTTATGTGTTGTAAGAAAAGCAACATGAACACATGTGACTGCTTCTCACATTGGTTCCTCGGTGAGATATGCAGTGAATGAGACAAATTTCTACGACATGCTACATTACGTGTATGACGGCCCCGCCGAGGTGCCCTTGTGGTTGAGGTACTCGGCTGATGACCGGCAGGTCGCGGGTTCGAATTCCGGCTGCGGCGGCTCCATTTGCGATGGAGGCGGAAATGTAGGCCTGTGTGCCCGTGTACATGCATTTGGGCCCACGTTAAACAACCCCAGGTGGTCGAAATTTCCGGAGCCCTCCACTACGGCGTCTCTACTAATCCTATGGTGGTTTTGGAACGTTAAACCTTACATGTCGATCAATCATTACGTATATCGCAGGCTAAAGAAATTACGAAGTAAATCTATATTGTTGTATTTTTACTTATGTACCTGTATTACACAACAGTTGTTCTTTTACACTTGGTGAGAAAGTAGCTCCAAAATATCCCTTTGCATAGTAGGTGAATGTGTCTCAGTATCTGTTTTGTAGGCTAACAGACATGAATTTCAGTACATGTGTTTATTCAAAACACCTTTCTGAGTACCTTTGCTGACCCTTGATGAAAAGTGTCATAATGGACCAGTGAAGGCCTGTGTGCACTTCTTGTCAGTGAAACATTACCAAAACATGTGTTGAGCGACCATGCAAACTAATTCAAGTGCAAAATAAGGTCATGTGGATATTCAAAACTTGGTAGATTGATTTTAAATGAAATATCAGTGAGGCGAGCGACGCTCAGCGAAGATATAACATACTGTAGTGTAAGATTATACAATGATAGCCTGATTTGTTTACAGTTCGAGGTCACACTACTGACATTGATCAAATCCAGTTATTCATGTGGCAATGAATTCTCAAAACAATTTCTATTTCACGAGTTTTTTTTACAGTTACAGCTGTATATGGCTAGGAGAAACGAAAATCTCTGTGGCAGTGGTGTTATGAGCATTCTTAAGACGCTGTTTTATCCGTTACGTCAATCTCCTCGTCGTTTCCAAGGGCCCGCGTCAATGGCTGCGTTGAAGTGGCTTTGCCGCAGCCGTGTTGCCGAGGCCGCGCGCAACAGTTTCTCTTGAAACCTCCCCGCCGAGTTGGCTTGCTATGGCAGACGCCTGCGATAATGCGACATAGCGGCGTCAGTGTTATGACTGTGGGAGCGCTTCGCTGAGTGAACGCCGTTTACGGCGGGAGTTTCTCCAGCGGCAGATTGGCTTCGGCTGCTATGTCCGTGACCACCTGTGGTTCCGGAACAACCATTGTGAACAACACATTGCGAAATCCAATTAACCACTTTTTCACTCCTCCATGACCATAATCATGCGAGGGACAATGTGGATACGTGAAATAAAAATTGAGGTTAACCCAAGCCAAGCGTGTGTCTAAGCTCTTAAGAAACGCAAACACCTAAGCATTAATTGCGAAAGGCTTTAGTGCCCCATCGGGTTGAACCCACGGCTAAACACAAGTTTCACTTGTGCCTGTTAACCATTTTGTTGGAGAGCTGGGGCTGCGTTTTCTTTTTTATATAGCGTATGCCTTCATTTTTCACAGTCTTAGTTGACTGATCATATGTGTCATTCATACGTGACAGAGGCGTGTTCTAATTCGGAGCGAAAATATATGGTGTATGCAAGTAACTCGCTGATAGAGTTGGCCATTTTTATGCTTCATTTAACGAAGTGAAGTACAATGAATCATTCTATTGAAATCGATAACTGACAACAGCTGTTATGAGAGTCTATACCAATCGTTCTTTTTAACTGATCTTTTGCAAAACTTGATTCCATACAGATAATAGTTATTTCAATTTCTAAAACTATATATGTAATAATATGCATGCACACTCGTCATCATGCTGTCTACATAGATTATGAATGTGCCCAAAAATGACAATTTGCCTCTCTACAGCGCATATTTTCACACTTATTTTGTGATTAGTGTCATATACCAAATGTAATACTAACGTTGCCTGCTAAAAATGTCAGTAAAATATTTCACGACCACAAGAGCCATATTGATGAGCTTTTGAAAACAACGGCGACCTATCTGTTTTCCAAGGACATTGCAGTGGCACCAGGAAATCACACGACATAACGAATTTCTGCATTACCAAAAGCATTGGCGCTTTATATCAAACCCATTTTATGTTCATGTACTGGGAGCATAGTTTCTATCCTCGGAGCACCTGCTGGTGTAATTTTTTGAAGGAAACATGAACGTATACTGTGTCTTTTTTAAAATTGAACTTAGTTTCAAGTTTGTCATCTACAGCAGGCTTTATCCTCAGTCTAACTCGATGCATTAGCATAAGGAAGCAGGAGGTTACATTGAATATCGCCTTCCTTGTGGATGGTTCTGCCCAGCATTGTGCCATGGCATAGCACTTGAGCAGCTGTTAAATAAGCTGGGTAACAGAAAGAAAAAAAATGGCTGGGTCACTGCTGTAATTATAATTGGTGCACTAGTGCGTCTCAAGTTCTTTAAAATCTTACCAAGTGCCTGGCACGGGCACCCTGTGGTTCCAGTTCTTGGAGTATCCACTTGCCGGCTTACCAAACTGTCAATAACGTCCATGTTTGAGCTAAGCATGAAAGGCCTGCTGGTATGCTTGTAACTGCAGTTTAGATACGTGTTGTTTCTATTGAGTGACGTCTGAATTCTTTTTATTCAGATGCAGTTACGAAAGAGGAAGCGCCAATGGGGAAGCAATGGCATGCTTTACGTGGCGGGGGGGGGGGGGCACCCTTTCTTGCGTGGTGCAGATGTCTGTCCCGTATTTGTGAAGCATTTATCGAAATGTCAAAAGAGCTCTGCAACAATTTTTCAAGTCATGATAAAATGTATTGATTAGAGAAGATTAGAGGTTCACAAATTCATCACCAAAAAACATTTTTAGAATCTGTCGTATACGAGGAGGGCTAAAATATTTGTTGTATGCTGCATTTGCATTAACTTTTTTTTTTCGTCCAGACGAAAGCGCGGAAAGATAAGCAGGGATGGATGGCACTGGTAAAGTAAATACGTCACGCATGCCTCGAGACCTTGAGCACTTTTTCTCTTTTTTTTCTTTCGACTACGTGGCTTTTCGGTGCGATCACGCGTGCACGCGCGGACAAGTCATTGCCTCCCTCGGAGGCCCCAGTAAGGACCAAGCGCGCCATAATCAAATCACCCAACGGCTCATACAATGGCCGCCACGAGTGATGTTTCAGTTTTTAGCGTCATTTGCCGAGTGAAGAGCTAGGAATTTTCAGCTGGTTTTGAGAAATCTCTGTAAAATCCAGTCTGTGCTCTTCTATAATATTTGGCTCGCGTGTCCCCGGGAACATCGACTGCCAATTGGCAGCGTTTCAAGACCATAATCAAAACGAGTTGCAAGGCCCCTGCTAGGTAAATAACGCAATTACCTCTATTTTCTTTCTTTATTTATAATACACTTTTTTGTTTACTTGAACTCGAATTTCAGTATCACTCGTTTTATTAGGGTTGTATTACTCTATTGTGAGCATCATTATGCACCATGAGATGTGAGGAGGTATGATAAGTCGAGTCCCTAAAGGGGCTGTCTACCTATAAGTTAGGGCTAACTAAAAAAAGTTGAATGTGATCTTCTTCATCCGTCTTTTCTTTTGTATGTGTTTTCCCTTCCTTGCCATTTTTCGCGCTGTTGCTCAAGTACCATGCAGACTTCTAGACGGAGCTGCAACGACAACACAGTGTAGTAGTTTCCTTGGCAGAAAATTGGTAAAGAAAATGTGAAGGCTGATAAACAACAAAGATAAAGCTGTGCAGGTTACTTTGTGTCGCACAAGACTTGACCACAGAGCTGGTGGGCAGCTATGTGGTGCTTGCTTAGCTAGTCTTTTGCCCCATCTTTCTTTCCACTATTTGCTGTATTTTAAAGACTCTTTCTTGGGGACCTTTAACACAAACATTTTGCGTTGAAGTTTCCGTAATGGTACCCTAATGGGCACCAAAGTGGCCAAACAATAATCCAAACGACCAACCGCATTCGCAACGCCCACCAATATTACTCAAGATTCAGCGTTCATACTTGTGCGATTGTCAATTGAAAAGCAATATTGCGCATATCTGAGGGACTATTACAACATGTCAATATTCTTTATTTTGTCTCTTACTAGAAAAGGCATATATAAGTAATTTTAAGGGTCGTAGCGTTTATCACAATGCGTTGATTATGCAACGCTTGCTCGAAAACGCAAGTGTTTCCAATGCTTTGCTAAGACGACACGGTGGTGACACCTACCCGTGGCCTTGCATTCTACACATCATCACCTCCGAGACGGGCATGCAAGGCGCCTGCGTTTAGTTTTCCAAGATAACTGCCTCATAGCGCTCATGTCATCTGACGTGACTTCATGCGCTCCGCTTGTTCGCCTCCGCTGCATGCTCGAGGCACTCCAACGCAGCGCCTCCAGGAAACCATATAAAGTGGCATGGTTTTTCAAGTAAAGTGATACGTAAAGTGACAACCAGAAGAGTTGTCACTTTACCACCCGTGTTACTTCATCATCTGCAACTGTACATGACATGTATTTTACTAATGAATCTATTGAAAGTTTTTCTCCAGGGGTTTTTAACAGAGCCTCGAGTGATCACCTGGCAGTTATTCTGCTCTGTAAGGTCCTTTTGGCTGCCAAGAAAATTGAACATGACCTGTTCCCTTTGACACAAATTATAATGCCCTCCTAATAAATCAATACCGTTCCATAATGCTGAGTTTTGATTGGACACCACTGTAGAGTCATGGAACTGCAGACGAGCAGTTTAGTTTTTAAAACACTCCGCACAATTTTACAGCAAGACATTCACACTGAGCTTTTAGAAAAGCGGTTTTTTTTGAAGAATAATTTATCTCAAACGACTTTACAGATTCAAGAACGGCAATATTTTGGAGCTTTTTAAACATTTCAGTATAAATGAAATGTCACAAGAGAAAATAAAAAAAAAGTGTCACGCTCACCTATTTGTAAGCATTATTGATCAAAAGGTGCTCTATATTAGATCGAACATGCTGCCGAAATCTGAACAATCTTTCTCACGTGTTTATGTTGCGATTAGTGGTATATAATACGTTGCAAACGATTTAACCGACAAGAGAGCATGAATCTAGCATTCTGGGTTACATGAAGAATTGAACACATGATACTACGGCGCCTATAAAATTTGATTTTCAAAATAAGTGAGCAAAACCAACAAAAAAGCCTGTATTAGATATCCTTTATGTTATTTGCCCACTCCCAACGCATATTTCTAACTTGTTTCTTCACGACGGCACTTTTTCCTCAGAAATCAAAGACGAAAGTGATCACTCTTCATAAAGCAACACTGAAAAAATTTTTCTGTAAATATAGGCCTATATCTAACACTCTTTATTTAAAATACTCTTTATGTGACATGAGTCAAAAACAGTAACATGCCACCGAGTTCAGGCAACAAGAAAAAGACGTAACTGTTTCCATACTAGGCTCACATCCCGGCACGTGAACAACAAAAAAAAAACAAGGAGAGCAGTGAAATAAGTGAAAACATACAGTGCAGCACTATTCAAAAATATTACTGTAAAAACTTTATAACCAAAATCTATACAGAGCAGACAATCAATATATGTGACTAAACACTTGAAACGCAGTGTATAGTGAACAGAACATTTAGCGAACAGAATAAATTCATTGAAAGTGGTAAAGTACAAATGCACTTGCATAAACATCGAGAAAAGAAGCACTTTATCTTGGTTGAAAGAGCAATTTTACTGTCTTTTTAAAATATTATCCGACCTGCCCATCTGTAATAACTACACAACAGAAGAAAAATTGTTACTAATTTCTACTACTTGATGGTCAAGTGATTGCGTGCAATAATTTGTCCTATATCTAGTTGACACAAGCGTCATCCTTCGCATGTCATATTCGAAGTCCCGAGTGAGGTACATAATGCCTAATGAAACAAAATCTTGTTTCATGCGGTTATAAATAAAAGCTATCGATTAAAGTTCGTAGTATTCGGTGAGGTGCCATCCTTGAAAAACAGAAAATAAATTGATTTGGCTATCTGGTCTTCTTCGTAATAGCTTCAGTGCTTTCTGTTGCAT